CTCTCTCTCTCCTCTTACTCTCTTACTTTTTACTCTCTTAATTGTTTTTCTTAAATTCTCTCCCTCTTAAACCTTTGTTCTTAATTCCAGATTTGTTTGGTAACTATTTCTCTTCTCTTAATCTTAGTTATTCATTCTATTCCTTTAATTATGTCTTACTTTATTGCTTTGATTAGTTTAGTTTTTACCATGTGTGAGTAGTTCTATTTCTAGGGTTTATGGGGATCCACAAATAATATGAAGGGGTAATTTATTGTTGTTAATTATCAATGCTAGATTAATTTCCTATTGATTGATTTAATGCTCTGTGACTAGATTAGGCATGATCTTTTATGCATGAGTTTGACAATATTGATTCGAGATTCGATAGATGAGAATTGATGTTTAGGTCTAGTTTCAATAGGCAGATTAATTTATAAATGGTTAAGTCGAGATTCGAGAGATGAGATTTAATACCGGTAGATTAATCCTGTGATTGTAATACATAGCGAAAGCCCTTTACGATCTGGTTAATTGACGCATTGATGATTGACTATTATTGATTTTTGATATTGCATGATAATTTCTTATTGAATTGTTTTAACGTTTTACAATTATGGCTTGTAAAAGTATAGCAATATTGAATTGATGAATCGAGCAGATGTTAATTTGATATTAAATGCTATTTTCAATAGGAACTTAGAACTAGTAAATTGCGAGAGCCTGTTAGATCTATGTTGATTAATAAATTGCGAGAGCCTGTTAATCATGTTATTTATGCAATGTCAATGATTGATTATTATGTTTTACCCTGGAATATTATTTATTGGTGAACCTATACCCTAGGCCTTTTATTCATTGTTTCTCCTCCTACTTTTATTCTTTCCCACTTTTATTCTTAGTAGTTTAGTTTCCCTTCGATAATAATAATTTGTTACTCTATAATCTAGATTATATTAATTAGTTAGGAATAAAAAGAATTGTTTCCCTGTGGAATCGACCTTACTTCCCTATCTACTTTACTTAGAGGACTTAGGTATTTACTTTTGATTAGAGGATACGACTTTACCCTGTCAAAATTTGGCGTCGTTGCCGGGGAAACGGTTTTATTTTTTGGTTCTGATTATTTTTGTAGTCTAGATTATTTTCTTTCTGTCTCAGAGAGCGTCAGTTCTCTGAGGCAAATCTCACATTTGCTTCTAGTTTTTGTTTATGCCCAGGTGTTCCAGATCGGGGTACATCCCATTCGATCCCGAGATAGAACGTTCCTTCCATAGACAGAAAAATCTCTACAAGCAAATCCTGGCGGATTCTGGTGATAATAATAATAATCACCGCGATCTTCCAACTGGTTCTAGTGATTCAGAGGCATCATCAGACGCAGAATCAGAGATGACGGTTCCAAAGAAGCTTAGTGATTACTCACAACCAAAGCTTACAGATTTTCCACATCTCACCCCTACTCCGGCTCTTGATGGGGTTTAATTCGAAATTAAACCTCAATTTATAACGATGATAGAGAGGAAGCAATTTAGTGGAGCAAAGGGTGAAGACCCAAATCTTCACATTGCCGACTATTGTCAATATTGTAACACCATCAGGCAAGCTGGGGTCACTCAAGACAAAATCAGGGAGATTCTCTTTCCCTTCTCTTTAACTGGAAAAGCTAAATTGTGGTTTAATGGCTTAAATAGAACTGCACTTGGTATAACTGACTGGGAAACTCTTGTTTTGAATTTTTATAACAAGTATTATCCTGCAGAGAGAACGGCCGTACTACGGAGTGCGATTCAAAACTTTTCCCAAGAAGCCGATGAATCTTTATATGAGGCTTGGGAGAGGTTCAAGGATTTACAACGAGACTTCCCCCACCATAATTTAGCACAATGGTAGTTAATCCAAGCCTTTTATAATGGCCTTGGAAATTCTTCTCGAATAATTTTAGATTCTGCAGCTAGTGGGAGATTTATGAATCTTGATGTTGAAGATGCAGGTCAGGTTATTGAAGACATGGCGATACACAATTCCCAATATGGGAATCCTAAAGGATTTGCTAACAAGGGGAAGCATAGTGTTGACTCTGTATACTTTTTGCAAGCTCAGCTGACCTCTATTTGCCAAAAATTAGATAATCTGAGCACTGCTAATGTAGCTAATGTTTCTGCGATTAATAATAATTCTAATGAGGCTTTCTGTGAAAATTGTGGTATTATAGGTCATTGGGAACAAGATTGCAGGAGTTCCGTGGAGCAAGTTAATTTCTTTCAAGCTTATAGGCAGAATAACCCATACTCCAACACCTACAATCCTGGGTATAGGAACCATCCGTACCTTTCCTACCGGAGTACTAATGTTCAGAATCCACCACCACAAGAACCACAGGCGCCACAACAACAGCAGCAGAAATATTATCATCCCAATGTTGGCCAGAAGAACCAACCACAACAAACCTCCTCATCTTCCGACCCTTCTCTGGTGGAAATTAGAGCAATGTTGGTTAATATGCAAAAGCACATGGAGAGTAGAGATGCGACAATTGATCAAATTCTAGCACATAATAAAATTGTAGATAATCAAATTGCGCAACTTTCCGCTACTCTACAAGCCCGCCAACAGGGAGCTCTGTCGGCACAGCCGACCATGCCTACGGATCAAGCATTTGCAATTACTCTAAGGAGTGGTTCAAACTATGAAGGGCCCTCTATGCCCAGAGTTGATGAACCTGATTTATTAAATAATGCTAATCTTGATTCCGTTAAACCAAACAATGTAGTTAATAGCCCTACAAGGCTAAAGGATAGTACTAACACATCTAATTCTACATTGCAAGGTACGACTCCAGAGAAGGTGGCTACTCCAGATAAGAGTAATAATACTCCAAAGCCAATTATCAAACTTCCATTCCCCAATCGTCAATTGAAGACAAACTTGGATAAGCAGTTTGGTAAGTTCCTGGAGATGGTAAAAGATTTGAAGGTAACAGTTCCCTTCACTGAATTAATCACACAAATCCCCTTTACGATCTGGTTAATTGATGCGTTGATGATTGACTATTATTGATTTTTGATATTGCATGATAATTTCTTATTGAATTGTTTTAACGTTTTACAATTATGGCTTGTAAAAGTATAGCAATATTGAATTGATGAATCGAGCAGATGTTAACTTGATATTAAAGGCTATTTTCAAAAGGAACTTAGATCTAGTAAATTGCGAGAGCCTGTTAGATCTATGTTGATTAATAAATTGCGAGAGCCTGTTAATCATGTTATTTATGCAATGTCAATGATTGATTATTATGTTTTACCCTGGAATATTATTTATTGGTGAACCTATACCCTAGGCCTTTTATTCATTGTTTCTCCTCCTACTTTTATTCTTTCCCACTTTTACTCTTAATAGTTTAGTTTCCCTTCGATAATAATAATTTGTTACTCTATAATCTAGATTATATTAATTAGTTAGGAATAAAAAGACTTGTTTCCCTGTGGAATCGACCCTACTTCCCTATCTACTTTACTTAGAGGACTTAGGTATTTACTTTTGATTAGGGGATACGACTTTACCCTGTCAATAAGTTAAACATCCTAGAAATCATCTAGCCGTTTTCTATCTTCAATTTTATCTGGGAATTTTTCGATCTTTTCCGGAATATGTTTTTGCAATATTATTTTTCCTGATTTAAACTCTAATCCTAGAAACTCATTTTCTTGTTTAGCATAAACACATTTATCTTTTCCAAGCATTATACCATGCTCAGCACATTTTTGGGTTACAGCTTTAAGATCATTCCTATGTTGTTCTAAATCTTTCGAGAATATTATAATATCATCTATGTAAACCAAACAACAATGATTAAGTTCTCTAAAAATATTATTCATTCTTCTCTAAAATACCCGTGGAGCATTTTTTAATCCAAAAGGCATTACTAACCATTCATAATGCCCTTGAGGGACACTAAATGCAGTTAATGGTGCTTTCTTTTTCCAATTTAATTTACCAGTAGCCATTTTTACAATCCATCTTAGAAAACCATGTGGCCCTTTGTATTCTATTAAATAACACACTTTATTAATGTAATAGCCATCAAAGACAGTATTCTCATTTGGCTGTTTATAATTAATGGCCATTCTAGCTTTACCTCTTTTTTCTTCTACATGATTTCTTACCATGAATGTTGGACTATTATGAGGACTTTTGCTCTTCCTAATCAACTTTTTATTCAGCAATTCTTTTATTTGTTCATCAAATTTCAATATATCTTGGTTAGCATATGCCTTATCCTTTTCCCAATGTTCTAATGGATTTGTTGAATATAGTTTTTCACATAATTTTTCTTGTTGCTTATTTATATGATCTATTAATGATAAATCACAGTCAGAAATTCTAAGTGCAAACTCTCGTTGTGTAGGTGTAACCCTATCACTATGCTGGCTGCGTGCAAATTCTTCTAGTACATAATTAACCATAAGTAACACCCAAAAAGTGTTATATAAAGTGGTAAAAGTGTTATTATAAACAATAGGTAACACTTTAGTGGGTGATACATCCACCCATGTTACCTAAGGTCTTATGTAACATTTTGACTAACCTATGGTAACACTTTTAAAAGTGATACAATTAGCCCTTTTACGTAACACAATTTATATTATTAGTATCATTTCTTAAGTGTTACTTTTTATCTTTTATGTAACACTTACTTATCTTTAGTAACATTTTTCAATCATATAGTAGCACTTTAATTAACTTTATATATCACTTTAGCAAACTAATGTATCACCTAGTTGATTATTAGGTAACATTTTTCAATCATCAGTAACATTGTAATCAACATTATGTATTACTTTTTGCAAAATAATGTAACACCTTATTAATCAATTATTATTATTATTATTATTATTATTATTATTATTATTATTATTATTATTTATTATTATTATTATTATTATCATCTAATATATTCAACTTTTTAATTTTTTTAAATATAAAAATAGTATTATCATGTACAACAACCACGAATGTAAAATTAAATAATAGACAATAATTTCAATTGATATAATTTCATAGTTTCTTACAAAAAACATCCATAATTACACCAATTTGTTTGTTTAATCTAATAATTAAAACAAAAGGAAAGTCAACTTTATTCTATAGATCAGACCACCAAATTCCAAAAAAAGAAAAGTCAAAATAAGTCTATGTAGTTTCCAGACAACAGCTAGCAGTAACAGCGCGCAGACAGCAGCTAGTAGTAACAGCGCGTAAATAGTTAGCAGCAAGCAATAACAGCGCAAAGATAGCAGCAGAACAACACTGCCTGGTGGTGATAGTCCATGTAGTTAGCAGACAACAATAGCAGCAGGCTGATAGGAGCAGGCGAGGCAGCAATATTAGCAGTAGGCAACAGTAACAAGCCTGTAGAAATAAAACCAGCAATCGTCAATAATCTAGCTTTATTGAAATAAAAGAAAAACATGAATGCTAATCTATCTCAAATGAAAAAAGTGGTTCATAGCACGTTATATCTCATCTAAAACAATCCAGGTCCACTACTCCTACATTATTGAAAGTTAGTTACAAAAAAAAAAAAAAAAAAAAAAAAAAAAAAAAAGCAAACATAGGAGTAATGATCCATGAATGGCACATTGTAAATTCTCTCTTTCCTTTTATTACTTCAGTTTCTTAAAGGAACGACCAAGATTTATTGTCTTACTGAGGTCTTGAAGAACTTTATATAGATAGTTGTGGATAGAATTAGCAATTCTTGGTATTAGCTGCCATCACACAAGGGGGGCTAGGTACTGCAAAGTGTATCATGTAGTTTAGTGAGAGCCTAAAATATGGTTATTTTGTGATATATTCAGCATAAATATAGTAGCTTAGGGTTCAATTGTATTCAAATGAGTGTATAAATTTCAACAAAAATGCAATAGCTTAACTTGAGAATTAAAAAAAAAAAAAAAAAGATACACTACAAAACTTCCTACTTGCAGAATGAGTGAACTTTCACACTTATAATATAAATATAAATACAAGCTATATACTACTAAGTGCTAAGTGATTATTGAGGATGTACTACATTACCACTCAGCAATGAGAAAGAGGCAAAGAGAGGATGACTAGGATGTTAAGCAACTTAAGGCAGCTTAGGGTCCAGCAATGACTTGACTTGCTGTCTTCTTGATGCTGCTATTTTTTTTTTTTTTTTGACAAATTCTTGATACTGCTAATTAATTATTGATCAGAATAAAAAATAAAAAAAAAAACACATAATTAGAATTTAGAAAGAATAAATTAAAAAAGATATAATTAAAATTCAGGCTTCAAAAATCATTTATATATCAGAAATTAAAGTCGACAACTGACAAAATTGAAGGAGTTGGAGGTGAGCAGCCATGAGCTGTTGAGGAACTCCTTGTTTGATTAAAAAGAACTGATAATGAGACTAATAAAGCAGGTTTATATCTACCTCAAATGTGGACGTCTTTGCTCCAACCATTGTTATGTACTTATGTCCGCCATTGATTAGTTTTTTTTTTTGAAAAAATGTAGAAAATTCCACTTATAAGATGTTGGTGGATTTCTACTCAAAATACGAGCATCTCTACTTCGATCACTAGGACCATTGCTATGGCCGCCACCAGCGAAACAATAAAAACTCAAAAAGTTTCGCCTTTGAGAAGAAATAAACGTATAAGAGAAACAAATTACCACAATTTGGATTTTGGAGTTAATTAACTCAAACAAATGCCTATTTACAACAAATAATTTCATAAAAATCATCATATACCCAAGAACAGAACAAAAATTCAAAAATTGTATTAAAAAGAAGAAAATTCGAAGAAAAAGGGTGAAATTCAAGTTATGCGGAAATCAGAATGAATAACAAAAATCTAATCAATAAATGTTACCCCTTGCAATGAATATGCAGCAAAAATAAACCCTAGATCGAAATTATTGACAATGCAAAATCAAAAATCAAAGAAAACTCACAACTTTCGATTGTTAAAAGTGGCGTATTTTCTGTAGTTAACGCCGCTCGTTGGTCCATCCCGTCGGTGTTCTTGACTGTGACAACGGTCCTCCGACTGCTCCATCCTCTTCCTGCATAGCTTGCTTTGCCTCACCTTAGAGGAGAGAGAAGAAGACATAAAGTAAAAATAAAAAAGGAACAAAACAAAACCAAAACAGTGAAAAAAGAAAAAAAAATGGGCGAAAATATCATTTGATATTTTGAGGAGTAAGTAACTAGGGATGATATAGAAAATTATAAATACGGCTAGTGTTAGGGGTGAGCAAGACCGGGTACCCGGTCATATTTGTAATACCCGGATCCGGAACCGGTTATAATCGGGTCCCAAGAATTGGAACTGGTCCCGGAACCGGTTAATACCGGATCCAAATTTTTTGGAACTGGTCCCGGACCCGGTAGGAACCGGTTCCAAAACCGGGTACCCGGTATTATTCAACGTAGTAAAATACTGTTTTTTTCTTTATAATTGTTATATAATATATTATTATATATAATGGAATTTTGCAGGCTAGTTATATTAACATAATAATATCCCTAAATTAGTTTTGGAGGCTAGCAAAATACAAATATTTCAAAATACAAATATTACAAACTAATAAGCCAAAAAGTACCAATTCAACAACCTAAAATATCAGTACAACAAACTTCAACAATGCTGCAAAGTCCAAACATCCAAACATAACCAAAACAACTACTTAAATAAAAGTTCAGAAAAAAAAAGGGAAGAAAAGGAAGGGCAGCAACAGGCAGCAGCTGAGCACACCATCAGCAGGCAGCAGCTGAGCACACCATCAGCCAGCAACAAGACCAGCAGCAAGTCAGCAACCATCTAAGCAACGGAGAAAGACAGCATACAGCAGACAACAAAGCAAAGAGGCAGCAGCCAACAAGGAAGCACAAATTCCCTATAAACAAAAGCCAAAATGTCCTTAGAATATTTGTCATTTGATATCTTTTCATACAATATAATTAAGAATACAATTATACAAACCTTTGTCACATCAATTATTTCCAACAAATTCATTAACTTGTGTGATGCCAGTGTCACTACCATCCAATTCTAAAAAAAACAGTAAACAATATAAGTAATAAACTTAGAGAAATAAAATAGATAAATATACAAAATAATAGAAGTATTAGTGTATTACCTTCTTCATATTTTTGAACATCCTCAAGGAAGCGCTCAATATCAATGCATACATTTGACGCCCTTAACCAATCTTGAGTACAAACTAAAGCTTCCACCATATTTGGCCCCAAACTACTACGAAATTGATCAAGTATGCGACCCGATGTACTAAATGCGGATTCACTAGAAACCGTAGAAATTGGTATAGCCAAAATGTCCTTAGCCAATGTTGACAATACTTTGTATTTGTCACTTTTTTCTTTCCACCAACCCAAAATATCAAACATTTCCCCTTCAACCCTTCTCTCCCGAGCTTCTTCAAGATAATAATCCAATTCACTTTTTTCAACAATAAAATCACTTTCTTCCTCATCAAAATCATCATAAAACTTTTTCATTTGCTCACTATTTGAAGAGCTCAAGTTTTCAGAACCATTATCCACATTGGCAACATTAATATTACGATTATTCTTGGAAGAGGAAGAAGCAATAATAGCATCATAATGGTTAAATAACTTCTGAACATTGTCATACAAATTGTCACAAATAACATCGACTTTGGCAAAGTCGTTAGGATAAAGTTTTTTAAAAGAATACTTCAAAAACCTAAGCTTATATCGAGGATCTAAAACAACCGCAACTAACATCATGATATTAGTTTTACCGAGATCCCCATAATACTTATCAAACTTTTCCCTCATTTGTCTACCCATAATACGAATATCCATATTTGTAGAGTTTTCCCATTCTATCAAACAACTTAACACCTCCAAAACCTCGTGAAAATACAAGTTTGTAGTAACATATAAACTACCCGACATTTTCTTTGTAGACTCATAAAATAATTTCAAACACAAAGACAACACTTTAGCATTTACCCAATCTTCTTGTGTAGGTACTCCATCCTTGAGTTCCCTACTAAAATCAGGATCATCTTCCGCAAACCTATTAAAAGCTTTTTCAAATTTCAATGCGGTTTCAAGCATGAGAAAGGTAGAATTCCATCTAGTTGCCACATCAAGACAAACTGAACCTTTACAAGAAACTTTAACCAACATAGAAGAGTGTGCAAACAATTTAGCTCTAGAAGGTGAACTCCTCACATATCTAACAGCAGCACGAATTCGAGCAATCGAAGACTTCACACTAGATAAACCATCTTTCACAATCAAATTTAGAACATGACAAGCACATCTCATATGAAAAAATGAACCCTCCAAAACAAGTTTATCATGAAAATGTGTTTTCAAATATCCAACCGCCACATCATTTGAACTAGCATTATCAACAGTTAAAGAAAACAATCGATCCTCAATCTCCCATTTAAGAATACATGCCTCCACAACTTTTCCAATTTCCTTACCTTTATGACTATCCATTAATTGAAAATTTAAAATTCTTTTATGCAACTTCCAATTATCATCAATAAAATGAGCAGTCAAACAAAGATAATTAAAATTTTGAATGGAGGTCCAACAATCAGTTGTTAGTGACACTCTCGATTTCAAACACCCAATTAATTTCTTTAATTTTCCACTTTCACAAACAAATATATTCTTCACATCTCTTGCAACTGTAAAACGTGAAGGTATATGAAATTGAGGTACAGCAACACTACAAAAATACCTAAAACCTTCACGCTCAACAATAGAAAATGGTTGTTCATCAACAATAACCATTCTTGCCAAACCAAGTCTACAAGCAGTTTCATCAAATTTCCAATTAGAGACTATAGTAGCATCAGATTCAGGAGACTTGTAAACAGAAATGAGTTTTTGCTTTTTGTCTACATTTGGAGGGTATTTTGAACATGCACCAAGGTGTTTCTTTAATGAAGAAGTTCCATTATTAGTATTACCTGTTAGCATTTTCTCACAATATTTGCATTTGACTTGAACAATTTTTTTGGTTACTGGATCTCTAAAATCCCAAAAATGGTTCCAGTATTCAGACTTCCTCTTGTCACCAACCTTGGTTGATTTGGTTGTTGCATTCTCGTTTCCAACCTCACTTTCATCATCCATAGGGACTGACGAATTGTCGGTATTGCTCATAGTTCTGAAATAGGAACAAATTAAACTTTAATAAGACATAAACATTACACAAAGTGAGAGTGATTATATGCATTACACAAATACATACAACAGTCAGAACTGATATTGTCTCACTCACATAAACACAAAGAAAGAAAGGAGAGACAATATGCACAGATCCTAGTACATCATCTTCATGAAGAATACAAAAAGGAATTGGAACTTAATAAAGAAAAAATGGTAATTAATCTTATGAAAAGAAGGTTCCTTTAGTTGTTGAAACACTTTCTCCTCTATAAAAACCTTTTAAACAAGCAGAATTCTACATAGAAATCCAACTGTAGTTCCTGCACATGCATCACCATCTACATCTTTCTCCACAACTACAAATTTCAGAAAAGACCAGCTCAATAAAACAAGAAATAGATCTGAAAATCTGAAAAAAACAAGGTAAACCAATATCATGATAACTAGATTAAAAAAAAAAAAAAAACACTATTGCAAAGATGCAAGGTGAATGTGATCAGAAGATGGGATTGTAGTGTAGTGTAGTATGATTTTTTTATTTAATCATTCAGTCAGGAAAAAAATTCAACAAAAAATTTTTGAACTTTGGGAAATATCTCCTCTAAAGAAATTTTTCCACTAATCCATCGCAAGTGGTAAAAGCCAAAAGATAGAACATTGAGTTATTGACTCTGTTTCTTCCAATGTTTTTAACTCTATCAGGGAGAATGCAAGCAGCAAACATAACATCATTAAAACGAAACCCCAGTGTACCCACCTCATGTACTGAGATCAACACCACAATGTTAACAGCCAAACAACAACTTCTATAAAAGCAATGACTGAACTAAACATGTACAGCAACTAAAAATGGTACCCACCAATTAATACTCAATAAGAATCTATTCAAACACCCAGAAATTGCAGAAAAAGACTATAAGTGCAGTCAATTTGTACCAATTCATTGATTTCAGCATATTAAACACTCGTAACACCCTCAGAAATTGAAGAAAATAAAAATTAAAATTAACATAAACACTCTAACTATCTCCAAAGAAAATGCAAGCAGTAATAAACAGTACCAGAGATCTACATATGCAAGATGAAACAAAAAGCAAACAAAGTGAGAAAAATACTTACGAAAGAGACAGTCGTTCGGTGGCTTGATGAGAACGAAAGAGAGGATGAGATTTTGAGTACCAAGAGAAAAATACTTACGAAAGAAGACCGAGAATCAGTGAATTGATGAGAACGAAAGAAGA